CTGAGCGTCCCGGGTGGGCGTCGAACCACCAACCTTTCCGATGCCAGCAAGCTTGCCTTCACTTCGGAATTGACAGTCAAGCCAGCCCGCATGCGGTTTTGTAGGTCGCCCCTATACTAAGAATTACGGTAGTAACGTCTGAGAATGTTTCAAAATAAATAAATAATAAATAATATTTATTATAAATAAATAGAATTTGCTGCTTTTGATGGGCTTTGTTTTTGAAACTCCATGTGATTTAGTGAGGGTTTGATGAATCACTTGGAGGGCTTCATCTGCCATCTTTAGGTAAAAGTAGACATGTGAAAACACATTTATTAAAGAATTTAATGAGTCTAATAAGAGTGAATGAGGTGCATATTTGCTTTGGAGCTGATATTAAAGGATTAAGATATATAGCATAAAGAAATCATTAATTAACTTATTTCAATTATGCGACAAAAGAAAATGAAAAATGGTATAGATATATTCAACATTATTGCTCTTATTTTGAAACATATTCCCCAGGCGTAATTCTTAGTATACGCGCGACATAAAAAAAAAAAAAAAAAAAGTTTGGGGGCTGGATTGACTGTAGATTCCAAAAGTGGAGGTTGGCTTGAAGACCATAGTGAAGGAAAATTAGGTAGCTTGGATTATCCACCTCTCTTTGTAACTTTAAATCGTTTGTTGCGGTGGCAAAATGTCAGCCAACTAAAGAATCAAGGCAAGTCGGAACGAAACAAACCGTGGAGTTCACTGTTTACGCATGGGACGAAGGACACAGCATTCCAAAGGAGCAGTTGATTGTTTTCAGCCATATTTTAGGGTTTTGGAGAGCAGAAGCAGTTTAGTTCGAGTTGAAATAAATCAGTTCAGATTACAAAAAAAAGAAGCGATGTCATGACGTGTAAAACGCAGAATAATTTTGCAGGTGTTGTTGTGAGGCATTCAAGGTCTCTGTGGCGCAATCGGTTAGCGCGTTCGGCTGTTAACCGAAAGGTTGGTGGTTCGAGCCCACCCAGGGACGACAACGTTTTTGTTTTTATACTTTTTTTCATGAAAACATTACATAATGTATGTTACTACAAGGGACTAATCAAGGGTGTATCCCGCCTCTAACGCGCGATAGATGGTAATAGGCAGCAGAACCCTCGCTCAAATGTAGTTCTCAAAGCTGTCCAGCAGATGTCGACATTGAGACCGGCATCGAGCGAATCTAGCATGGAGTCAAATTAGTTCACCCCGGGACTCCCATCACTAGCTAGCTATGCCAGAGAACAGCACAGTAGGAGATATGTTTGAGTGGTTTTGCAAGTGGTTTTAACTGCCATTGAAGTTGCTTTGTGTAGATTGTTGAACAAAACAAAATCGCACCACCGTCCACCGCGAGATAAATAAAACAGTTGAAGTGCACCTCTTTAATTCACCGCTTACACCACATGGGCGAAAGATACGGTATTCCATCGCGGGAAGTGCTTTGAATTTTATATGTGCCAAAGAGCAGAAATTGTTAAGCTATAGCTGAAATAGATAAACAATCAAAGCAGGGATAGATCGAGTGGATATGTGCAGCGAAAGCTAAGTTCAGTGGCTTTCTCGTGATGCATTCAAGTCTCTGTGGCGCAATCGGTTAGCGCGTTCGGCTGTTAACCGAAAGGTTGGTGGTTCGAGCCCACCCAGGGACGGCATGCTTTTTAAATTTTTTTTTTTTTTAAAGAAAAGTGGTATAATTTATATTAATACAAGGTACCTTTGAGACCAAAACCCATTCACTTTACCTAAAGGCGTTTTTTTTTCTTATGATCAATAACTTTTACAGCAAATTGCACTGTGAAATTTTTAGTTATGCCTCTAAATATTGTTTTCTATCATTTGATTCCAAATTTTTCTTTGAATAAAAGTGATTTATTTTAATATATATAGATAACTATTTATTTAAAACGCTAATTTAAACTCACTGAAGTACACCTACGTGCTTTACATACAGCTAACTAAAATAGTAAATAGTCCTGCATGGGACCCTCTTCTTGTTGCCAATGGCTGCTGGAGGTGTGTGTGGCTGACTGGAGGCTGACAATGCTACACCTGACTCTGTTGGGCATCCCCGTCTATAAATCTCTCATAGATTGGTGCAGTCAGGGGAAATATAATGTGCCTCTTTGTCGTCAGAGTGCAATGTCCTTAAACAGAGTTTAGAGATGGAAAGCAGTCCTCTGGGTCTTGTTTTCGTGTCACCGTTTAAAGCGGCCACAGAACGTTGCATTGCTCACCTAGTTTCATACAGACATTCTGAGTTCAGGGATAAATCAATGCTGTGACAGGTTGTTCGGTACATTTGCACACTAAAAACTGCAGGGCTTTACCAGATGTTTTCAGTAAATCACATGTACTCTCACAGCTTAAGAAATAATTATTATCTGCAATGTTTGCTGCTCAAACTGCCTTATTTTGGCTCATTTCCAGACATACAGTATCTCAAAAATCCATATCTTAAAAAAGCAACAAAACTTTTTGTTGAATTTCAATCCTTTATTCCAACGATTGTCATGAGTTTTTATTAAATGTTGCTGCAACATTTAAAATAAAATAATGAAAAAAAACATTTTTTAAACATTTAAATATGACTCCTTAGCACACATTCTAATGCTGAACACAGTACTTTGTTTTAACTAGAATAAGAACAAAAATTGACATTGCATACAGACTTGCTGCAAATGTGCAAATACCATTGGCATGTTAGCAAATGTAGTGCTTGCATATTTATACAATGTTAAGAATGTGCATTGTTACAAAAATAAAACATGGCATTCTTAACCTGCATTAGGTGCAGACTTCATTTTGAAAATGCCCAACCACAAAAAGTGCAAGACAGTTTGCAGTGCCTTGAGAAACCTTTGAAAACATGATTGTATACTAATAACAGTGATTCAGATAATGTACTATATGAAGAACAACAAAGTAATGTAAAGGGAATAATTTTCAGAATTTGTTTTTATTTTTAATTTTTTCACCCCAGGTGATGACTCAAGTTTCGGCTCAATCAGTGTTTTCGGCTTTAGGCAGACTGGTGTTTTCCCTCGGGGTCGTGTTATAAGCGAGCTGCATGGCCCAAACACTAAGAGGCCTCATGTAGGCCAGAGAGCGGTAGATGTTCTTCTCGCAGTAGGCTTCAGGAGTCTGAAAGGCCATGCCGAGTCTCTCCCACACCGTCCGGTAGCATCCCTCTGCAGTGCGCATGCCTTCTTCAAACATACCCTGAGGAACGTCAGAAAATAAAACGGCCATGTCAGGGTCTGATCCATCACAATTACACAACAAAGTTAGACTTAAGTTAATACAAAACAAAGAACTACTATAAATGACAAAGTTTGTCTAAGGCTAACATAGGTCCAACTAAAGAATGATAGTTTGGATGAGTAAAGCAGCCAAAAAAAAGGCTGAAACCAAAAGGCTTTAAACAAATAAGAGAAGTTTAGTTTTCATTAAAATTCACTAATTGATAAAAGCTTAATTTTATTTTGACAGCTAACTAAAAGCTTTGGAGAACTGCTTTAAAAAAAATAAAATTAAAAAAGGCTGACTAAGGCTACGTTCATACTGCAGGCTTTGATGCTCAATCCCAAAATATATATATATATATATTTTCTATGAAATCTGTTTTTTTTTTTATGGTCGTTCACATTTCCAAATATATGCGACTTGCTCAGATCTCCAGTGTTTAATGCATTCATACAACTTAAGTGTCCCGCATGCGCAGTAGAGGACGCAATGACGTCACAAACAAGCATGCACTGTGTTTACGGAAGTAAACATTGATGGTAGCGCTGGAGCTCATCTTGCGATTTTTCCCGCCAACCTGAACAACTCAATCTTTTCAAGATGGTTAAAAAAAAGACTGCTCTTTATATTATTGTCGGCTGTGGTTGTTGTTTTTTTACTGATTCTGCACAGCAAGACGCAGAATACTGACCTTTGTTGAGTATTAATGGCGTACAGGTCGGATGAATGCAACTTGACAGTTCACACAAGTCGCATTTCAAAAGATCAGATTCATATCGGATTCAGGACCACATAGCCAAGTGGCCTGGGTCGCATTGGGAAAAAAAAATCGTACCTGTGTTGTTCAGACTGCCATGAAAACTTCAGATACAGGGCGCATACGTGCAAGGGGAAAAAAATGGATTTGGGTCACTTCAGGTTGCTGTGTGAACGTAGCCATATTGATTTTTTTTTTCCAACATTATTTCCTAAATCGCAACTTGGATGATCAAAACAAAGCTGGTTCTAAAATACAGCCCTGAGGAACACCACAGGTAAGGATTTTGCTCCCACTAAAATAACTCCTGTATTTCACATAATGATCCCTAGGAGGACATTAGCGTTTACATGGTTATCACCTGCATTTGCATTTTAAAATCTCTAAAGACATAATCCCCAAGATTGCCAATGCAATCCCTTAGCCAGTTGTTTAAGTGCAGTGATTAAAAATAACATTGGAACGTTTCGTAAAAAGCTCTCTGTGTGATGTTCAGGCAGCGTTTCGAGAAATCCTAACTGCAAACTGTGTTATGCTGGGAAATAGATCATATCTCCTGAATTAAAGCATTACTTTAATAATGTAAAAATAAAGAAGTTATTATTTCATACAGTTATTATAAGATCTGTTTCATCATTTTCTAGTTAGTCCATTATTATACTAAAAAAAACAAAACAAGTTGTTTCACTATGTGCTAATAATTGTTAACCTGGCAGAAGCCAGATTGATATGTGTTGAACTGAGTTGAGTTCTATGTTATCAACATGGGGTGGCTGCCGTTTAGTCAGTTCGTGAAAAGCAGGGACCTTTAGTACAATAATTTCCAGCTAGTATCTGCCTTCCATAATACGCTTTCAGCCAAACGTAGCAGCAAATCGCAACATTTCATAAGCTGACAAATCAAACAAATCCTGTCAGAAGAAAAGCACAGACATCTTTCTTCTCTTTGCTACTTTTTTTAAACGAGAATTGAAAAATGTTTGTTATGCCTCAGCAAGGCCCTTCTGACTGTCATTCTTTTTTAAATTTTTTTTATTTAGTATTTTTCAATTTTGCTATAAAACACACAAAAAGAAAAGTGAACAGAGAAGGGCGATAAATACTGCAGTCATTCTTATTTGTCCCGCCCCCAAAAAACACTGCTGGTATGTCATTGGTTTGACTTGTTGTTAGGAGACGGGCGTGTTAGCGGGTCTCTTTCAAGATGGATTTGTTGTGAGACTGAAAACTCAGATCACGCGACAATCAAGCTTGCAGCGCAAAGTTAAATAACCGTGCATCTAAAATTCAACTATTCCAAAAGTTCCAATGCAACGTGTTGAAAATTAAAGATAAAATGTGAAAGCTCAAGGTTTTTTTCCTTCAATCATAACAGAAAGAGAAGCAAAAGTTAATCAGATCGTATACTAATTAACTAACTAATTTCAGCATAGATTCTTTTTTTTTTTAAGTGTTGAAAGTAGGCTCTGCAACAGGGTGAGGTATAAAACCCAGGTAATTATATTAGGCTTCACAACCAGTTATATAATTTTCACACTGTATAAACATATTTCAAGAAGTTATACTTACTTAGCAATAGGTCTGGGTATTTTCGCCAAAGTCCTGAATCAATTCGATTTTGATTCATACAGTTCTAAATCAATTAATTTCGATTTGATCTGTTTTTACAATAATGAAAGTGGTTCAACTGGGTTTCAAAATACGCATGTATTTTGTTTTTTCCTGTCACATAAAACAAAGTGCAAACTTGTAAATCAGACAGTTTAAACATGAGATGTGAACAAAACTGTCTCATAAGTGCAAACGAGTTTGTGAAAAGTGAAGAAGTGAATCCTCACACGACCAAGCAGAAATGACACAGCAGACATTAATGAGCTGCATTATCTTCAAGGTACACACCATATTTGCTGCATTGTCTGTAACAACTACAGGGTGTTTGCTGGTTAGCCCCCATTTGTTAATGTCTTCAGTCAATCTATTGGCTATATTTGCAGCTGTTTGGGTTGAAGTCATCTTGAGTGCTTCTTTCCTGCTTATTTG